AGAGTGAAGAGGGAAATCAATCAGAAAACTATTGCAGACGTCTAGACAAGATAAAATGATGGCATGAACTAGAGTGGGGGCAGCCAGCTGGAGCCCTGTAGCAGGACTTGTGGGGGCTGGTGGGTGCAGCTTCTTCCTTTCATAGTGAGGGGCCCCAGGTCACAGGGGCCTGGACCTCAGCCTCCTGATTCGACCCAGGGTCCTTTCTATGGCACCAGCTGCTCCCTCTCTTTAGAAGGCACCAAAGAGAGGGACTTGTTCTATCCTTGGTGCAACATTCACCTGCGTCAAATTGCTGGGCCTCATTTTCCCCATCAAACCAACACAGGCATTAGACTATACCTTGGTTAAGTGTTCTGATGCTAAGATAGTTCTGCTAATGTGGGGGAGCCTGTCATGATGACACTGTCCCAGTTCCCTTTTTCAAAGACTTGTAGCTCTCAGAACCACTACTTGATACTTTTTTAAAGTATGTAACTTTTCCTTCTCAGTGAACTACACTCATTGTTGGTGGATCTCTGAAGGCCTCGTTCACCAGAAATTCGAAAAGCCCTGTTCAGCAGCTGCTTTACACTTTAAAAACCAAAGATCCATCAGATCCAAAACGGTTATTGATATGCATATTTTGATCATCTCCACAAACAAAGTGGTCAGGCTTCCCAAAAATCAGGCAGGAAGATGCCGGGAGGCTGAAAAAATTCCCGTCCAGAGACACAGAAGGGAGGTGCTCATGTGTGTATGGATCGAATAGATTTTGATCATCTTCGGAATTCTTGCGCTAGTGAGAAAGTCCTAAACTGTACCTAACATCTTCTGCAGCTGCTTGGCTTGCCAAAAGCTGTGACTGAAGTTTAATCTCAGTTTAGTGTTCCTGACCAGTGAGACTTGTAATTTCTGTATCACCCAATCTTTGCTGTCTTAAGTATGCTGACTAGATGCAGCCTGAATCTAGGGATACTGCAATACAGTAATTTTTGTTGTGTTTTGTTTTTTTGGAAGTGGTAGGGATTGAACCCAGGGCCTCATACATGCTAGACAAATGCTCTACCACTGACCTACACTTCAAGCCCTAATACTATCATGTTTCAAGTGAGGTTCATCTCTATCCACCCAAACCCCAAGCCCAACCCCAACCCTGAACTAACCATTCCCCTAGGCCATGGAGGATCTCTCCAACACCCACTCCACCTCATACCCAGGAGGACCTATAGTTGGCTCAGCCATGCCTGTCCTGAGGGGCTGGAAGCTGACCTATCTAAAACCTTTCCTCACCATCTTCATCTTAGTGAGAATCACGTCAGAGTCCCAGATTGCATCCTGGGCTTCTTATGGAATGTTGGGCAGAGATAACTTAAGGAAAATGAGAGTCAGAGCGGTTATCTGGAAAGATACAGATAGTAAAAACACACAGTTGTTTGAGGATTAGGTGAGATTACATGGACCACAGAATACTTTATATCTGCTATGTACTGATGGGCCACAGGTCCATTTTTAGTGGTCACAGTGGGCCAGACCCTTTGCCAGGCCCTCACACATATTAACTCTTTAAGTCAATCTTGAGATAACTTCATAAATCAGATATTAGCTCCTCAAAGACTCTGATTCTTTTGGTTGTAAAATGAAAAAATTGGTGACTTATCCAAGACTATTTAGTCACCTATTGTCTGCTATCAGACTATGAATCTCACTTGGTAGATGTGTAGGTATCATGGAACCCAACAGAGGTAATTTCAGACAGGACTCTTTTCTGGCCCTGGATTGTGAACAATCACAACTGCTTCTCAGGAGGATGCCTACTTGTTCTCAATCTTAGAATATTTCCAATTGTCTTTTGAATAATTGAGGATACAATAAATTTTGCTGCTCTTCTCCCTGCAGTAATATTCTTCCCCAAAACTACTGCCCCTAGGATTTTCGAAACTCCTGAAAATATTTCTGGAAGATAAATGTTCCCATTTGCCATTCATCCTGATGCTCCTGCAGGGCTCCGAGTGCATCCTCAGACACAGGCTGGCGGGGCAGATCTTCTAATGCTGATGCTGGCCCAGGGAGGCGACGTCTCCCCATCCATCAATTCTAACTACATTCAAACATTTTCAATATGTGGGCTCCTTGATAACTTCCACTCTATGGAAATCAAAATGGAGGGAAATGATTATTGGCACAAAAGGGGGAAGATGTAAATCTTCAAATCAGATACAGGACAGATTGGAACAATATGAGTTCTTCAAGGTTTCCATGATAATGTACCTAATAATTCTCCTTGGGCAAAAGGCAATCTGCTTTCAATCAATCTCGCTTTTTTTTTTTTTTCCTGAGCAAAAATACCAATTATGTTGAAGGAAGATTTTTTTTCTTCCTTTTTGATAAGGACTGTTCTCCACCCTAGAAATCATGCTGTAGCTAAAGATATATATTTTCAATTGTCTAGAATGGTATTGGACAGCTAGCACCAAATGAAAAAAAGTCAATCTTTTTTTTTTTTTTTTTGCCTTCTCCTCCCCTGCCAGCATTTGTCTACTTCTTAAGGGAAGTGAAAGCTAATTAAAGGCTTAAGGGATAATATTGATTGCATTGGAATATATTTTATATGTACCTGACACATTTTCAAGTAAGAGGACCCTGACTTTTTCCAAGGCTGAATAAATCAGCTGGCTGAGCCTTTGAGCTCATCTTCTCCCTTTCCACCTTGCAAGCATCTCTCACAGGGATGAATGATTTCCAAAGAGGAAGACGGGCTACTAGAGGCTGTTCATTCACATCTTTGCATACCAGAGAGGAAGGATGAATGATCAGGCATGTCCTTAGACCTATCATTGACTTGAGTCTGGCTTTGAATAATAGGCAGGAGGATGCTGGTTAGAACTTAACACCTTACAATGCCTGTGCAGGAGGCTGGCTGGCTGTGGGTATTAGCCACTCAGCTTTCCCCTGCATTGAACAGGAGTAAGTAGCTTGCCCAGGTGGGGTGCTGTACATCCCTGGTAGCAGAGCAGGGTATCCTGTCTGACTTGTTTTCTCAGCCAAATGACAGCCTCAACTGTAGGGATCCCTGTAATGTAGATTCATACGAGTCTTGTTCTTAATCTTGGAAGCAAGCAGGCAGAGAACATTAGGAGACACCAAACAATCCCACTGCCATTGATGGTGAGGTCAGATCCAGAGGGGAATCACGTTTCTAAATCACTTTCTCAGTGCATTTGGAAAATTCAGGACATATGCATTGAGATGCAGTCTGTTTGGTCCATGAATGAATATGTGCTACAAGAAACCTTTTAAGATATCATAAAAATGCATATAATCCCAGTATTCAGTTTATGTCACATCTGCTGGGGCACAGTGATTTTCACAGCCTTGTAGTAAAGAGGGAGTCAGTGATGTGGGCTTTGGGCCTGAAATTTGGATGAGTGGCCAAGGGACCTCCTCCAGCCGAGCAGGTGCTGGCTAGGGAGCACAATGATCATGTTGCGATGTTCTCTTCTGAAGCAGCCCGTTGACACTCTTCCCTCCCCTCGATGGCCACCGCTTGCCTGATCACTAAGTGCACCACCGAAACAATAATAGTCCATAATGGTTATATTATTAACTGCATCATGCTTATTATTGATTTACTCTTTGTTCTGCATCATTATCCTTTCACCAATGAGTTTACTGCATTATTCTCATGTACTTGGTCAAGCACCAAATTAGCGCGCAAGGGCAGGCTCTTGTAATGGTATCTAATGGAACACTGCAGAAGCCATCATCACTGCCTCCTATTAAGAGCTGCCTCCACCCAGTGAGCTTTAAGCCTTATTGCAGTGTGCACAGAACAATTATGAAGTGCAAGAGACCAGGCTGTGCTAAGTTTTACCCAGGAAATTGCTTCATTGCATGTTCATCACCTGCCCCTCCTCTCAAAAGTGCAGCCAGAGATCCCGCATTTGTCATTGTCGGACAGAGGACCACAGGGATGAGGGCTGAGCTCTTGTTACATAGGATATCTTTGCTAGAAGCCAGTGGTTGCATCTCCACAGTCAGGCCCAAGCTTTCCATTGGAGGCTAACTCTGGCATCAAAGTGCTTACTCCTGCTCGGGCATCACATAGCAAGTAGCAATGGGAACAGAAGAGCATGATGCAAAGATCAGATTGGCCCAGGAGCCCGAAGATGTTGATGTGACTATTGGTTTCCCAGTTCTGGAAAAGGGGCTCAAATCGCCCCAGAATAAAGCAAGCATTTCCAGCCTCAGACTTCCCTGGCTTCTTCCCGTCTGGAGGAAAATCCCTGTGTCTCTTTTGGAAATCTCAAGCACCCTAAGGCAGTAGTAGCTCTTTGGGAATACACGGTCAGCGTGCGATCTTTAATTCCACGGGTGTCCCTTCCCCATTTAGCCCTGAGTAATGCTCACTTACTGTAAAGTGTTACATGCCCCCATTGTTGGAGAAGTTATGGTGGAAAAATGCAAAATTTCCTTTTTACTGCTTATGGCCAGCTGAGCCTATAACGTGTCAAGCCGCACATTAGCCACCCTGATAAAAGTCCGCTTTCTTACACACAAAATCATCGTTTCAGCAAGATTTGTTATCTCATTACCTGATAAGCTCTATGTCATAAACCAAGACTCATACAGTAAATCTCCTGGGAGGACGCTTTGTGGGCAGAAAGGGAGAGATATGAATCTGCAAGGGACTTGATAATGCAGCATTTAAGCGCAAGCATAATGTCACTTATTGTTAAATGCCTAAAACCGCTTGGCCAAACGGTTGGGCTTTTAATAGGATTTTGTGCAGCATCAGGTGAGCAGCCATATGCCTTTTCTATCTAGGAGTCTCTGAGCACCTGCTAGTGCCGCTGCTTTGCCTCACAGCCCTCCGGGGAGGGGATCAGGGCTTTACGGAGGGGGAGGGAGGAGATGGATGCTTCCCTGCAGCTGCTGTGCTTGCTCTGCCTTGCCAGGGCGTGGGGTGTGGGGGCCTCGCTATGGGGCCTGGCTTCGTCTAACTGACCTCTCCTCTGCAGGCATATTGTGGTCTGTGGGCACATCACTCTGGAGAGTGTTTCCAACTTCCTGAAGGACTTTCTGCACAAGGACCGGGATGACGTCAATGTGGAGATCGTCTTTCTTCACAAGTAAGAACTGCCGCTGCCACTGGGCCTGCTACCTGGCTCTGTCCTCCTCCCTGGGGATGGGAGAAGTTGGGGATCGGGTCAGCATTGACAAAGCCATGATCCTTGCTGGTCTCCTTGGAGAGGGTATCACAGAACTATGCTAAGCCAATGATGAAAGCAGTGTCTTCTTCTGTGGAGGCAGATCTGGGACCACATTTGAGATTCTTTCAGGAAGAATAAGGGTAGAGTTTGCTATGGGCCTGATGCATCATTACTGTCCCCTCCACAGTCTGCACCTGGACAGGTGAAGGGTGCCTGCAGTGTCCGGTGGGGGCCAGTGAACCTTAGGGTGTGGATGTTTTAGGAGTGCAGGAGTAGATCATGACCAAGAAAGACAATGACCTGAGAGGCAGCAGAGTGTTAGGTAATAAAAACAACAGCTCATCCTGGGAGTCTCCAGCATGAGACCCTGTGCCAGCTTGGAGCATATTATCTCTCATTCAATCCACTGTGAGCGCCCACTCATCTTCAATCTGAATCCTGACTTAGTCAACTAGCTGAGCTAGTTATGCAACTTCCTCATGCCTCGGTTGCTACATCCATAATAATTCTACCTCGCTGGTCTGTTGTGAGAACGAAATGAGATAATCCATATACAGTGTGCAGAGCCAGTTAGGCATACAGTAGATGCTTAATACATGTTGACTGTTATCATGAAAGATAAAGTAGATTAGGCTGCATAATCAATTTAGGGGTGTCTTATCGTGTGTGGTTTTTACAGGGGTGGGATGCAAGATATCTTCTTGCCCTGTGTGGGTGAGGTAGTAAGCTTTGCCTGATCCTCTTTAAAGTAAAAGGGAGTCTTTCCCCAAAATGGAGAGAACTGGGGACTCTACCATCTCAACATGGTGGTCTTCTTTTATGGAAATAAAGTTAACATGGGGACTTGCCCCTGTATTTCACCCTTTTTCTTCTCACCACTGACTTCTCCAAATTCTGAAGAGAGAGACTAGACCACAGTGCAGGAACTGGACCCACAGAATTGAGGCAGTGCTTAGCTATGGGGGACTGGTGGTGGGCCAGTACACTGCTGCAGAACAGTTCTGGAGAGAACCACAGTGTTTAAGTTCCTGAGCATTCCAAGACAAGCACACATGCAACAGTTAGAGGACAGCATGGGTTTTGTGTTGGCCAATGCGCGCTGAGATCAGTTTAATCCAGTGAGATACCCCAGTGGGATGTCTTTATTAGAGAGAGACAGCCCTGCCTGCATTAGCAGCATGGTATTCTCAAAGATACACGACTCTGATGGACTTGAAAGATGGGTCAGATTCGCACAGGCAGCCACTTTTCTCTCCCCCACTGCTTCAGTTGGAAAGAATTAGCAGGTTGCTGGTGGCTCAATGCCTAGGATTCATGTTTGTGTCCCCAGGGTCTATCAGCATCCAACTCATGGTGGATAACCTCTTTAAGCTTTGGGTTAATAGCATACCTTCCTATGAAGTTGTTTTGAGGTTTAAGTGAGTCACTAGATGTCAAGTGTTTAGAATGCTGCCTGCCTCAGAGGAAACACTTAAAAACATTAATAACTATCATCATCATCACTAAGCATTTAATAAATGTTAGGCAGGTGTTGACTTAGTACAGTTGCTAGCACATAATAGGACACAGCTGAATGTCATCTTCCAAAGCATGACACAGTACCTGATAAAGAGGGCATCCTGGGTTTTCATCTCTGCAGAATTCAAAAGTAGATAAATAGGTCAGGCACTTGTTTAGTCTTTGTTCTTCAATAGGGAAGGTGTCTGAATAGCTCAGCACCAGGAAGTGTGATGAGTGCTATGCCAATGTGTGAATCAAGAATCATACAGAGAGCAAATCAAGTTTGTTTGTGGCTGTACATTGGTGATGTTTATTTGACCGGGCTTTGGGGATTCTATAAGGTAGAGAACCAGGAGAAAGGCTCCCTATAAAGGTAACAGTTGGGGAACCTTTGGCTAATCCCTCATTATATTGGAGCTGTGCTCTACCCTATTGAGGTTTTTCAGGAAACAATCAATAGGATGTAGATACAGCTATCCCTCTATAGACATATGAAATATGACCACAAAATACATGTTTGAATGTTTAAGTAATAAAAACATTGCAGTAAAAGATTCATTGCCATTAATCTCCCTTAAAATATTTCTCCCCCTTCAAACACACTTATCCCATCATCCTGGCCTCTTAAAGTCCTCTTTCACTGCCATAGCTGCCTTGATGTCCAAAATCATTCAAAACATTAACCTTTCATGGTTGTTGTGACTTTAGGGATGATCCAGAAGTCACAGAGTGCCAGGTCCAGTGAATAAAGTACATGAGGACACACCGTAATGTTTTTTATGAGCCTGCCTTTCTCTTGGATGGTGCTCAGCAGCAGTATTCATTATATTTTTTATTATACCTCATAATGACACTGACACTCATGAAAGAAGACTTGCAGAACTGCTTCAGAAAGTGGCAAGGAATGAGGGAGAGTATTTTGATGGGATTTATGGCAATGCTACTCTTTTACTGTAGTAAATATTTTTATTTAAATACGCACTGTATTTTTGACCAGCCCTTGTATCTGTCTGTATCTGTAGTTACTTCCCTGTACAGAGAGAAATTCATGATGAGATTTTTAGCTCACTTGATTACTGAGACTGAGAAGTCTCTCAGTAGGCCATCTTTAAAATGGAGAACCAGCTGGTCATGTGACTCAGTCTGAGTCTGAGAGCCTAAGAACCAGGGGTTGAATGATGAAAATCCTAGTTCACAGGCAGGAGAAATGTAATGGGATGTCTTAGCACAAACAAGCAAGCAGGAAGTAAAAGATATGGCTTCCTCCTTTCTTTGCCTTTTTTTTTTTCTCTTCTGACTCTCAGGGGATTGGATGATACCCACTCATATTGAGGAGAGAAATCTACTTTCCTGAGTTCGTTGATTCAAATATTAATCTCACAGCCACACCAAGAGGTCACTTTACCTGGGTATCCCAAAGTGACCCAGTCAAATCCACACAAAAAATTAACCATCACAGCCTCAGTCACAGCCTCAGGTTCCCAATTTGTAAAACAGGGTTTCCATTGATAACAAGTGGAAGACCCTGTGCCGCATAGTCCTCAGCCTGTATTTCACCTTGTACTGGATATGGTGGTCAGCTGGGCTAGGCTTTCATGTCTCTTAAACATGAGCCTTTTACTTATAGCAAGAAAGGGGGCTTCTTTGAACGTCAAAGCCTTCCCCTAGGTCTCCCTGGAGAAAGTGGGAGAAGGGAGGCATGGAGGCGAAAATTCCAAGTCATTGTATTCATGGCTGTCTCTTCTCTCCCTGTGCAGCATTTCCCCTAACCTGGAGCTCGAAGCTCTATTCAAACGGCATTTTACTCAGGTGGAATTTTATCAGGGTTCAGTCCTCAATCCACATGATCTCGCACGAGTCAAGGTAAGGAGGAAGAGGTGACTTCTGCTTTCACTCTGTCTTGAGAGGTGGGAAAGTCTGACTCTGATTAGGGAACATACTTCTCAGGATGGCCAAGGATCACCTCCTAAACCCGAATGAGATAAATCGGATACTACCAACCTTGATGTTGCCCTTCCATTGGCCCCAGGACCTCTTGCTGTGCCACACGCTGGGTCACCTATAAGTACTCTACACTTAGTCTTAATATAAAACTCATTTTGTTGATTTTTCTCAATATCATCCACTCTTGAAGTCAATCAATTGGACAGACTCAAGAGTCATATAAATAGCAATGTAACCAAGTAGTTTCCATACTGAATATTTAAGTTGCACTCAATACAGCTCCATCTATTAATTACATCTGAAAGAAACATGAAAATATAAAATAAAATGTTATTGAGCCAGAAAGTGTTTAGAGCTTCCTTTTTTCTCACCAAACACTCCATGTACGAAAGTAAACTTGCGGGTTTCTAACATTGCTTGGTTAGGGGCTCGTCTTTTTTGCTGGAGCCTGTTAAGTTAGAATCTTCATAAACCTCACCTGAGGCTTACAAGGGACACACTAAAGTGGCATCTGCTACTTGGTTCACTTAATATAGATTTTTGTAAGCACGTTCAATATCGGCATGCCAGTAGATGCACATTGATATTGTGAATCCACTGAAGTCTAAACATTCTCTGTGGTCACCAGGCGCTTCTGTAAATAACATAATTGGCAAACATGAATAATCCAAGAGGATCTGTGTAAATTCTTTGCATTATTAAAGAAATCTAGAGGTAATTTGTGACATACCACTGAGGAAACCAGACCCTCTTACCAGATGCAGGAATGATCTAGCAAGCACAACATACCGAGTCAGACAGATTGCAGATTTGAGCTAGCGTGAGAATTGTCATGCTTGTAGAGGCCGTTTAATCATAATATTATCCAGACATGACCCAAGTTATGGTGAATGTGAAATCTTATGAGGATGGAGGAAATAGTTATTGTTCATGGACCTATTTGAAATGCAAGCAGTTATTAGCACTTCAAACTCATGGTCCCCTCTAAGGAATAAGGAACCTCTTTTGGCTACTGTTTAGATAAGTCATTGGGTTGTATTTTGAGTTCCTCTGTAGCCTGTTATTTCATATACGTAGATGTGTTGACTTTTGACTCTCTGAATACTAATGAATACTAAACCATATAGCATTTCTAATTGAGAATTCTGAGCTCTTCCTAGTGCACAGATAATGAAGAGGTGAAAATGGTTGGATGAAGGACTTTTGGGTGAATTTCTGATTCTCCAAATAGTTAACTTGCTAGTCTGAAAGAAGAGGTTTAGGCTACCAACCGCCATTTCCTGACTGGGAGAATTAGGGTGATGGCATATAAAGTTAGTGGAGAAAGGAATGAAAGGCTTAATTAATTGTATTTAAAGAAATTTGAAAATTCCACATGCAAGCAGCTACGCCAAATGAAAAGTATAATTACCCAGGTACATGTTGTACTCTGCACCCGCAACAAGATGAAATGTTTATCCCATAACAAGAACTTGCAACCTACACTTTTGAGAAGAAACTATAGTCTTTCAGGATTTTTTTTCTTTCCTTGAAAAACACCAGGTTCCCCTAAGATGTGTCGATAAAGAGAGATTGCAGTTGAGCCTGGCTATTCATATGTCTGTGTTCTGTGATTTTTTTTTCCTTTTGGTGTCTCTCAGATAGAGTCAGCAGATGCGTGCCTAATTCTTGCCAACAAGTACTGTGCTGACCCGGATGCTGAAGATGCCTCCAACATCATGAGGTAACTCTCGCGTGGTGGTATGAGGGAAGGCCCAGAGCTTGGTCCGTGGCTCACTTGTAGCCCTTTTTGGTCTGTAGAAGATTGTTTTGAAGGGACCTTCTTTCTCCCACGTGCTATCGCGTAACTGTTCCTCTGCATAGATTTGGGGAAGCTGAGGCTGTGATAGGTGATCCTAGAGCAGGAAGCTCAGCCTTAGCAGATGGCATCTTTGGGAGCTCAAAGCTGGTCTTGAGTTTGAGATTCTTTGAGTCAGAGCTAGCAGGCTAGGAGATAGATTTAGAAGGGTGCAGGCCTGAATGAAAATACCATGTTCCTTTAGAGAAAGTGGGCCAGAGATGCCTTGACTGAGTTTGATCCCCAGCCCAGGGGACAGTTTGCAATACCGGGAGATGTTTTTAGTTGACATAGCTAGGGGATGATCTTGCTAACATCTGGTGGGTAGAGGCCAGGGATGCTGTTAAACATCCTATAATGCATTAGGGCAGCCCCTGTGTAGAGAATTATCTGGCCCAAAACATCAACAGTGCTGAGACCCAGGACCCTTTTGTTAGAGCCTTTTGGGTATAAGAGTAGAAGACTGATTAGTATCACCCCAAAGAGAAGGTAACTGATCAATTGGCAAGTTTCTATCAGTTTCCTAAAATTTGTGTTCTTCCTGGAAATCATTTTAAGTGATTTTAATACCAATTTGCATCTCTGAGATAATGTATTGTGGTATATTTCTAAACCTGTTTGACTACAAACCCCCAAATCTTTTTATCTTTTTTTTTTTAACATCTTCTGGGGAAGGAGATTCTGGCAAACACCGCCCTGTACATTTCTTTACACAGGGACTGGACCCATAGAATGCTAATTTCCGCCCCCACCTTCAAGGGCTTATTTTTTTCTCATTTCAGAAGAAAATTTGTTCAGCTTTTGTTCTTTTCATAAACTCACAGTCACCTCCTGTGGCTATGCAGTGACTAAAAGCTGCAGACATTTTGCTCCAGGTAGTTAAAACCCTTTTGGAACTTGTCTCTTCTCTGGCATAAATTGCAGGATAATTATTTGAGCTGGGAAAAAGTAAGAAAGAGAATCTTCTGGAGAGGGGATGAACTCAGAGTAAACGTTTCACTCCCACTGTATTCCCAGGAACTTGGGCTTAATTATGAACAGCCATCCCTTGGTCCAGACAAAAGCTTCCCCTCTGCCTGCAGCTTGCTTTACTGTGTCCTGGGAATTTACCTGAAGGTGAAGGTTGGGAGGTTGCTTTTGTGTCATTACAAAGCTTGCAGCTCCTTTGTCTTTGCTTTTAATCAGTGGCCCCAAGCGACAGGAGATTTCCCATCAGTGATGCAGAGGAATTCCTCTGGTGCATTTGGGATGAGCGAGTCCTCCCCGCAGCATCTGGTCCTTGTGTCTGGCAGGCAACATCTGGCACAATCTCCTCTTTCCACTCACTTTTCTCTGGCAGTGTGCTCAGTGTAGTCATTTTAAGGAAGTCAGTGTTTGAACTCCTGAAAGCCTTGGGCCTGCCAGGCTGCAGACAGGGTGGAGTAGGGGCAGACTTCATCATACCTGGGCCCATCCCCTAACTCGTGTGTCACTTGTCGCTTTTTAAAAATAAGTACTGCTTCCATCATTTCACATGCTTTTCTGTCATTTGGAGTGATTAAAAACACAGCCTTTATGGAACAAGGCTTCGTTATCGTTCAGACTTCAACAAAAAATTGGAGGACGAAGCTTGAAGTTTTAACTCCACAGAGATGTTTAGGGCTGGCACCCCCCCACCAAAAAAAGTGAATAATAGAAATGAATAATAACTTTGAAATGGGCGTTTCTCTTAATCCCAGTATTTTAGCTGAACCCCGACAGTGGTAGGATTAATATGAACACACACAGGTATCAGGGTGACTGGCAGGATGCCAGGATGAGCACCAGGGCGGAATCACCAATGTCATTAAGCCATCTATTAACTAGACCCAAAAGGAAGGCTCAAAAGGATATGGGAGGCTCAGGGTTAAAAATGGGCTCTGTTTTTCTCTTATTTGTGTAATCCTCCTTCCTCCTTAGTTTAATGAGACCAATCTGCCCCTTTTTGAAATTAAAATGTCAAAGATCCATTTGAAATGACCTAATGCAGAAAACTGGTTGATGCTGTGAACTTCACTGAGAGGCTGACAGAGGCTCAAAGTCCTTGAGTTATAAGCAGGGCCCAGCACAACCCTTTTTCAAAACTAAAATGAAATCCTTCAAGTGCAAAAGCCCAGGGTGGATTTGTGCAGGGAGAGGCTTTCATGTGATGCATTTCCTCAAGTCACAAGTTGCAGCTTTTCAGATAAAGCCGCTCCCGGGCTGCCTTCTCTCTGTCTTTGCAGAAAAGGGGTAAAGTGGGAGAACGCTGCTCGGTGGGGAGTTTGCGGGGCCGGTCATGATAAATGCACTTGCATTTCTGATTAGGCTTCGGAGGTGGGCCTTTCTGTGGAATTCCATTCTTTAGCCTTCCTTGTCACAGAAGGAAATGTACAATGTCACCTCTGACAGGGTCGGTAATGACAAAAACCATAAGTTACACGTGGAGAGAGTTTTTAATGATTTCAAAGCGTTTGCACATCTGGTCTCCCATTTGCTCCTCATACCAAGCCTATGAAGTAAATAAAGCAGGTACTGTGGCCCCCGGTGTCCAGATGAGGAAACAGGAACAGAGAGCCTGGTGATTTCCTGAAGGTCACCAGGTTCATTAGTGCAGCAGAGGGACTGGAAGCCAGGTGTTTCCATTCTTCTGCTCCCGACTCCTCCCCCTTTCTCCCTGTGATTGACAGGACGAGTGCCAGTGCAGATTGGGGCAGTGGGTAGGAATTTTCCACCAGATTTTGACCTCCATAAAGTACTGGCACTTATCTTGAACTAGTGTTCAAGTCATCATGTAGACTGTATTAACTGGAAATCCTGGCTTTTATTCTGAGAGCCCTGTTTAGAAATCACATTCCTGAGAGTGGCCAAGTGTGTGTGACAGTTACGACCATTTGTCGGGTGGCTTGTTTGATTTGTCATTGCTGTTTCAGGTTGCTAACTTGAAGGACTGGACTCAGAGCAGATTATTCCTTGGCTGGTCCCTGGGGTGTGGGAGATTGCATACCTCGGAGGACCCAGGATTTGCTCTTGTTTTAGATGTCAGTGTAGGCAGTGACCCTTTTCCAGAAGCACTGCTGTCTGTCCACAGGGGCACACATCCCATCAGTGAGACTTTACAGGATCCCTCATGTTTCTTATGCCCAGGACACACACCATGGCTGTCTTGTGATTTCTCTTTCACACTTCCAAGAAAAATGGTGGTGGGAACTGTTTTTCTTGGCCCCAAGCCTACAGCCCCTCAGAAAGACCTGGTTGGTGCGCCCCCTTCTCATATGCCCCATTTAAAGGTAATCTAGTAAAACGCCCATCAGCCTCCAGGGATAAGACAGGCTCTGCCTTAGCTATGGCTTTCTCTTTTGCAGAGTAATCTCCATAAAGAACTACCATCCGAAGATCAGGATCATCACTCAGATGCTGCAGTATCACAACAAGGTAGGACCTTGGGAGCACTCCATGCCTGAGGCCACTTCAAGGGTCAGTTCCAGTCTCTCCTACCTCACCATACCCGCCTGCCCCGACACACTCACATGCACACATTTGTGCACACCTACATGTACCAGTGCCGTGCAAAGTCCTGGGTAAAGATGCAGTAGTTAAAAATCTGTGTGGGACACTTCTTCAGGCTAAGCAGCTTGTTTGCAGTGGATCATCGGAGGGAAGTTCCTTCACTCAGGATGCATCTGTTGGACCCCTTGGTTCAGAAATATTGATGGATCCTTAGATCCCAACAACTTGCAGTTCTGTGTGCTGCAGTCATTTCTTGGTCAATATTTATTGAATACCCACTCTGCAATCAGAACTCTTCCTGAAACCCAGAGGGATATCAGTGGAGGAGAAGCTCTTTTGTGCCCTCACAGATTTAACATTTAAAGTACAGAAAGTGCCCCCAGCATGAGATGGGATGTCTCAGAGGCCAGGTGAACTTGGAAAGAGTGGGACATGACATTCTTAAATTCAGGATCAGAATTTGCACAGTGAAATCCAGGGAATAGTTAGCTATCCAGAAATTACACGTACAGGAATGTTCCTAGCGTTACAGCTTAAACAAATAGGAAAAAAAGCAAGTATCAGTGTCTACACGATTTCCCTGTGGTTACCTTCCAGTAAACCAGAGTTGAAAGTCTCTCATCCAAAGGCAATTTTCTGTCACTCAGCCTGTTAGTGAACTCCCAAGAAGACAGCTTTGGGGGAGGGAAGGTGGCACCTTGCTCTATTCGATATGGTACCACTTAACTCCTTAATGAAGCTTAGAAGTTGGAGGCTGCTCAGTGTCTGGGGCCAGGTGTCCTGTCTGAACAGAATAACTCCCTGCTGGGTTGTGAGTGAGGCTGTGCCCCATCTTCCAGGCCATCTTCCCTATGAAATAGGCTGTCAGGTGACCCAGAGGAAACCCCGTTCTGCCAAATGCACCAGTGCCATGCCATTATTTCTTAATTGCTGGCAAGTACTGGCCCATTTTACCATGTGGAGGCCCATCAGAGGCCACTGTGGGCTGGAGCCTGCTGTCTGTGACTGGCCCACCACTCGGAGGGGCTGCCTGATGCCAATCCTTGCCCATCCCTCAGCAGGTGGCTGCAGTGCAGATGGCAGCACTCTCCTGCCAGTGCATTTGGTGATGGGCACCCAAGGCTACATTCTCTGGCTGTCTCTGGAAAAGTCAAGGACACTGAAGAGATCCAGCAAGGGATGCTGGTAACTCGCAGGCATCAATTTGCAGCAGTTTCCAGAGGGCAGCCCCTGTAGGTGGAGGTGAATGTGAAGAACAAGGTTGAGAGTGGTGACAGCACCTGCCATAAGAACGCTCCTTCTTTCATTTGTGATTTGAAATTTCACTTAGTGTGGGAGTACTTTAAGCTGTTGTTTAGATTTTTTGGCTGAATTTAGACTGAATAGGAAAATTAAGGTTGTATGTTTAGGAAGGGATGTCACTGCCTTTTATTCTCTTTCTAATGGAGGCTGATGTAGCATCTTTAAGGAATTAAGGAGGACTCAGCTGCATAGTCCTTGTCAAACCCAAAGCCATTCAAGTAGCCTAGGATCCAGCAGTCCTTGATCAATAATCACCTGAATGTCCTTAAAATCTTTTGCTGTGTATTTACTCAGAAATAATGATGAAGACATCAATGGACCCGTGATTATTTCCTGAAGACATTTTGTTCAGAGTGATTTCAATCTGGTTTCAGGGTCACTTAAAACCCTAAAAGCTAATAAGGACATAGGATGGAGTGACTGTGACATGGGATGCTTCTCTACTTTAGGGAAAGAACGAAAAGTCCACTTGTCTTTGCCATCTCATTCCATGTAGATTCCAAATAGACTTTCTTTTCTCTGCTTCCCAGTTTTGCTCTTTCCTAACAGGCTTCCGTTCATCCTTTCAGCATGTTTTCTTCCTTTTCTTTTTCAATATATATTTCTTCCTCTCTTGAAACTTTTTTTACCCATCTTAGATGCCCATGGATTTCCATCCATTTAAACTTGGGAAGATCTGAGGAGTGTGTGAAAAGTATAACAACACAAATATATTCCTTGCATCTGTCAATTCCATAATTAGACCCCAGCCTTGATATATAAGGAATCTCAATCCCCTGTGATCTCACGGATATGATATTCTAGAAGCCAGGGCATAGCAAGAAAACTACTTTTTCCTCCAGACAGAGCTAGCCCTGCTTATGTCATCATAATAATTGCAGATTTTTATGTCTTATTTTCTGGTTTTAAAGGAGTTTTACATCTATTATCTCATGTAATTTTGTTGGGACCACCTGTGTATTTAACATGCCCATGACCAGGGGTCTAAGCTTCCTCATAGATAAAGCCAGTCTAGTGAGCACAAGCTGAGCTACTGAGCAGTCAGCAAGCTTGGAGACAGAATAGCCAATTGCCACCTTCTCTTTTACCAAGCTGCAGGCCACTGAACCAAATTATGGTTCCTGAAGATAAGCTTCTAGAAGGCCTGATGCTTTTAACATTGGAGCTCTTTAATATTTCTTGGTTTTATATAGAGAATCATGTTCAGTGTGGCCATCTTGAATGCAGATTTCTTCCTGATTTAAATGTAACTGGTGAAGCTCTTCAAAAAAGGATCATTTACATGTCCTAGGAAAGTGTCATTCCTGATGATTTACCTATTCATGAATTTATTTTCCAAGAAGACTCTCATGAAAAAGGCCTTGTATGTGATCTGGAAGCCAAATTTCAATGGTCTGCTGAAGATGCGCATTCTTTGAGGTTTCTGATCATCAACCCTCATACTTGGGCAGTAGTTGGATTAGTCAGGTTTCTGTCACTATAACAAATTCCTGACATAATCAACTTATAATGAGAAAAGTTTTATCTAAGTTAATGATTTAGGAAGGATCAGTCCATGGTCCACTGGCCGTATTCCTTTTGGACTTCTGTGGAGGCAGCACATTCTGGAACAAAACCTCTTGCCTCATGGCTGGGAAGCAAAAAGGAGAAACTGCGTAGCTCCAGTAACCTAAGGATCTCTTATTAGCCATTACCACCCAAAGGTTCTACCACCTCCCAATGGCACCAACCTGGAGACCATGCTTTTAACATACAGGCCTTTGGGGGACATTCACAATGTAAACTATGGTGGTGGTGCTATATCCTCTTCATTGGCATCTTTGTTTATTATGATACTACCATTGGTTGTACGGGCCATGAGAAATAGAACTGGGACTAGGATTCATGGTTTTCTAGGAAAGCCAATTTTTGTTCTCCTTCTCTATGAGATGAGGAATGGTTCAGTAGCACAAATGGAGGACAGTCCTGGGCCAGCTGGGTCTTTTCTTTCTCTTCCCTAAATGAGAGAGGATTTGCCTCCAGGCTCCTGCGTAATGCTGGCATTTTCCACCAGACCAAAATTCTCTCAAATGAAAGAGGACAAAGTTGCTAGAAACAAAGAATTGGAGTTCTTGGGTTTTTCTCCTCTCTGTTTCATGCTCGCAGACCTCCCTCCCAGCCTTTGGCATGTCAGCCTCACATCCTGCCCTGTGACTAGTAAAATTATGATGTCCAAGAAAGGGGGCTGTGGGAGCCTGAAACAAACTTGACTTTCCTGCATAATAACATGTAAAATATGTCTCCAGAACACAAACCAGATGGGGGTATAAGGGACCCAATACTGAAATGCCTGGGTTTCATATCCAGAATGAGGGGCTTTCTGGGAAAGGTTTTCCTTGTTATTTTTGAAGGTGGCATGAAGGTTGTATGGTATCTCTCTAGGGTTTGGACCACCCAAATCTCTTGTCTCACACAAATTCATTATTTAGAGGTAATTCCTCCTCATTCTGCTCAGAGGATGTTACTGCAAATGGGTATTTCTCCTCTTAAATTAATGGATTATCTACAGTGCCAGAGAAGTAGAGAAGAAAAGCTGCCTTCCTAAGCCAGTGAAGAGTGGGGAGAGAAATGGGACAAAGGAGAGGGCCAGTTCTTGGAACTGAGTGTACAATTGGGGAAGGTCCCCTGGTACTCAATGTGACAGAAATCACAGTCTGCTGTGGCCCACACACAGGACTGATGGAACCATGCTCTCACCAGGCAGGGCACTGTCATCTTTCCCAGGAGTAAACACTGTTGGCTGGGGACTCACAGGACTGTCACAGAAGTGGATTTTGCAAGAAGGAAATTTCACAAGAGTGTTACTTCTGAGAGCAAAGCATGGGGCCCTTGCCCTTGGTCTAAGCTTCTACAATGGACCCTTTCATCCTTCTGGTATAGCTTTGAATGTTGTTGGAAAGTGAAGAGAAGCCTCCTTCGCTGATCCCTGTGTTTGTTGATGTGAGAGAGAAATAATTTCAGAACTGTAACATCTTGGCACATGTAGGGACTCAGAAGGGTTCTCTGATTCAACCTCCCATGCAAAGCACATGTTTTTCTTTCTCCACAGCAACTCTGAGAAATATTAAGTCTGAGGGACAGTGACCCTGTGTATTTTGAGGTGGTCTTCCCCATGTATTGGATGAATTATAGCCTTAGAAAGTTTCTTTACAAAACACGCCAAAAACCTGATTTCTTGTAACATATATCAGTCCTTCTTAATTTGGCTCCAGAACAAAACAGGACAAACCTCCTCTCGATGCAGCGATGCCTGAGGTGTTCAGACGTCACCGTCCTGTTTCCTTCTTCAGGCCAGACTTTCCTGGCTCTCTTAATGGCTCCTCTTGAGCTTTTTCCCAGAATGCACCTCTTGTCCTTACTATTTTTCTCAGGAAGTTATTGATCATTTTCCTTCTTTAAATCTGGCTGTTAAAACTGGGGATCAAGTTCTTCGCAACTAGTCTGACCCAGTCACAACAGAATGAAATGTTCATTCTCCTTGCTGTGGAGCCCATAGCTAACAAGCAAACATGGGCTTTCTCTGTAATGTGTCACATGGTCTCTTGCTGAGGTTTTAATGTGTCACATGGTCTCTAGCTGAGGTTTTACCTGCACACTTATATTTTGCTCTCTCTGTTATGTGTGTGTTTCATTTCTGCTGCCAAGTTAGAGATCTTCTCATTTCAAATTTATATGATAGAGTTTTTTGAACCTAAGTGCTGTACTTGATATGAAAGCCTTATTAATCCTGTTTTTTTAATTGCTGATTTTTTCCAAATCTGAAGAATTTTTTGAATTTTTCTATTTTCATTCCATATATTATCTACTCTGCTTGAAGCCATTTAAAAATAATTGCATGAATATGTCTCCATGTCCTTGTCTCATGGTGTAGCCTAATGTAGAATAGAAGTAGTTCATCTGCAAGGGATTGTTAGGACCCTTACATTATGTTTTACTTGGTGATTTAGGCCAGTGGTTCTCATAGTGTGGCCCCAGATTAGCAGCATCAACATCACCTTCTACATATTAGAAATACAAATTCTGCAGTCTTACCCCAGATCTACTGACCAGAAACCCTGGGAGATAGGTCCAGCAATAGGTTCTTACAAACTGTACAAGTGATTCTAATATCCACTCAAATTTAAGAACCACTCTTCTAGACTATTGAGATTTTAGGCAAAAGAGAAATGGAGAATACACAGGCACTTGGCAGACTTCTGGTCTCTGTGAGGAGCCAATTTTTGAACAACCTAGCCAGACATCCTTGTAACAAGGGCTGATGGGTCTGTCACAAGAGAACATTTCTTCTGGGCCTTATTTGGCTAAAGGATTAAACCCGAGGCGAGGACTTGGGCTTGATAAATACAGAAGCGATGTTACAGAGACATGGAAGAATGATGCACAGAGGTGGAGAACAAAGCACCAAACCTCAGACCCAAGCAAAAGAAAAAAGGCTGAGTCTGGCTGACCCCAAGCAGTCGGGCACTGCTGCGTCTCCCAGCTAGATTTTAAACAATTGCGCATGTAACAAAGCAAGGTCTCATACCTGTTTCTCGTTCTACAGGCCCATCTGCTAAACATCCCGAGCTGGAATTGGAAAGAGGGCGATGACGCAATCTGCCTCGCGGAGTTGAAGCTGGGTTTCATAGCCCAGAGCTGCCTGGCTCAAGGCCTCTCCACCATGCTCGCCAACCTCTTCTCCATGAGGTCATTCATAAAGGTAGCGTCTTGTCTTATTAGAGCACATTAGCCCAGGGTTCCATTTGTCACGGGGTTGAGTCGAGAGCGCAGCTTAAACTCAAAACAGATCGACAGGCTTTAACCACTTTGGTTAAGGAGAAATTCCTTGGTACGGATTTGGGCATGAGGCCAGCTCCTTTCAAAATTATGTTTTTATTTTTATTTGGCACATCCACGGCCATTAAATGATTGTTCAAAGCACAATCCTCTCTCTTTTTTTTGACAAACCACATGTTTATCTATCAACAAAGCCTCCGCTGTTAAAACAAAAATATGATTTATATACATTCCATATGGTACCAGAGCGCCTAAAGAAAAGAATTATCATTTTGCTCTTTTATATCAAGTGGCTGGTGGACCTCTCACTGTGTGGATAAATGCAGACCATGTGTTTGTGCCGGAGCCCAAACCCTAACAACATAATTCATTTATTTATTTCTGCACAATCAAGGAGGCCAACAAGGCTGACATGCCATGGCTATTTGAATGGAGAATGACAGGATGAACCGAGTCCATTACCCTGAGAAATGGGCATTCTGGATGTGTTCATCTCCTTGTCAGCTGCTACCCCACAGGGCCGACTGGGCAGCCGCTCCATCATCCCCAAAGTGATCACTACCTGTTGGACCAACTCAAGCAAGGACAGAACAGATCAGCTCTATCCTCACAGGCCAGGTCTGATTAGACATTTCAGGGGTTTGGATTGAGGAAGCCAGATCTCTACCAAGAAGGCTTCTGGAGTACAAGACAATAGTAACTCTAGTTCTTGTCTCTAGGGAGCTTTTAATTTAGGTATTCAAAGCGGCAAGCCAGGGTGGTCAAACGTGCCTTGTTTAGGCCTCTCTTATTGGGCGCTGGTGTCAGCTGCAGATCTGGATTTACATCCTCCTTCCTGCTGCACAGCCAACTGAATTAGTAGTAGTCAAGTGGATGGTGATGGAGTCACAGAAGTGGTCTTGGTTGTGGACATAAAGAAGCTCAGGAAACAAGAGGAGAGCAGGAGGATGCAGGTGCACTGGGCTCAGCCTGGTCACGTGTGAGTTCTGTCACTTAGAGCAGGAATTTTTCCAGGTGCGTATGCTTTGAACCCACCTAATTGGCAACATACAGCCAATAGACAGTTAATGTTGGTCTACCAGCAGGATAAGTTGTGTTGGTGCTCCTTTAATACTCATGGTAATTGATAATTGATACCTTGATTTGTTTCTTTTTTCTCCTGTGCTTATTACATAGTAAGACCTCAGCTCAACTGAAATCTGAGCTCAGACCCCACTTGGAACTGAGGACATTGCTTTCCTTTAAATGTCTGCTTCAACTCAGGCTGCTATTGTCCTGCATGGATGAAACTGAATGCAGGCAGAATGTAAGCAGCCGGGAGGTCCGTGTGGCTGTATTTAGAGACAGGCTCCCATAGCCAGATGTGGCTGTGTGTCTCAAGACTCTTTCAGTGCAAGGAGCCCAGAGCCAGGATAAAGGACTGTCACCACGAGAGCTCCTCTGGCTCTTTCATCCAAGTTCCAGTGGTGTCTTCCAGCAGGAGGTTGCTCCCAGGACCAAGCACGTGGTCTGAGGAGCCGGGCTCTGCTTCCTTGTGTTGATGTGACATGGCCCTTGGCAAGGCCCCACCACAGATGGGGCCACTTGACATGCGTATGTTTTGATTTTGTGGTGCCTGCATGGTAACTGGAGCTGGCTGTCAAGAAAATTAATAAAGTGGATGTGACATTGATTCTTCGGTGCTCTTACCAGCAGAGAGAATTTCTGCCCAGCTTTCCTCAGGACCCTGATGGGCCTCACCTCTAAAGCCAAGGACATCCCCTCCAGCTTTGCTAATCCCATTGCCAAGTTCCTGTTTAGGAAGAGCCTGTGGGAAAGGCTGGACCCGGCCCTGGTGTAACTGAAAACACATTTCCCTCCCAGGGTTCTGTTACTACATTATTTCTTTCTAGGGCCAACTTCTCCATGTTTGGAAGTGGCTCTCCGAATGTGGCCTTTTGACACTGAGGTGGTCCTTGTGTTGGAATATGCTAAGGCGCACGATCTACAACTAACAAGCTTTCTCTTAGTGTTTTCTTTTTCCCTTTAGACTAAGGACAGGCTTAGTCCTGTATCCCCCATTCTATACTGTCACCTTTGTGTACTTACCCCCAGTCCCAGATCTTTGCTTCTTTTAGATCATGGTGAACACTAGTATGATGTTTCCTTGGCATATTTTATATATTATCTCCTATGCCAGAGATCACAAAGCCTTACTTACTTTTGATGGGGACAGATGCAGAAAGAAATCTGTAAATGGATTATTGTTTACAGAAATCACTTCCTTCACTAGTGACCCCATTTCCTATAGTAGAAAATTCATCAGCCTTTCCATGGGGACAGGCAGGACTATTAGGATGGAGCTAGAAGGGAGCAGGCTTTGGCAAGATTTGATACTCTGGGAACACTTAGCATTTCTGGAAGCCAAAGGTAAAGTGTGAGCGTACCTTCTCTATTACCCTGGGCAGATAGTGTCTATTTCTTGGCTTTGCAGAATGTATCCTATTCCACCTTTGCTCAAAGAAGAAAGACAAGAGAGACTGTGACAGTGAAGGTATCTCATAGGCAGAAGCACAGCAGCTATCTACTGAGCTTTTTATTATGCACGGATCCAAAAGAGAGGATGATAATATTTAATAAAACAGAGAGGGACTCTGCCATGTAGGAATCACAAAAGAAATCAGCGAAGGGGTATTAAGAAATATAGGGGAAATACTTATTTGTACCATCCACTAACATAGCTCTTAGAGATTCTGACCCTAGTGTCCCACGTTATTGTACCCCAAAACCTACTTTTCGTGTTGATATATTATCTCTGAGTTGTACTAGACATTTTGAGAATCAATTTATATTTTTAACCCACCTCTGTAGGAGTAATGAATTCTTAAAGTTTGAAAGCATTTTGTGTTCATCCTTGCGTCCCCTTGAGGACAGCAGGCAAATGTCCTGGTACCTGTGTCTTAACTACATTATGAATAGGCCTGGAACGTCCTGTTTATTCACCATTCTCTGATCTCCTTCCACTGGCCTGTCAGCTTCCAGAGAGCCTCTCCCTAATGCCTTTTGTAAAGACCAAGACAGAGAGCTGATTTGGCCTGTCTGGCATTGCCCCATCTTTGAATAAGTGGCCACACTTTACCCGCTACTTGGCCTCCTCACTTGGATGTAATTTAAGATCATAGATTTTCTTGTTTTTGTTTTTGAGTTTTACTGTGTATACTTAACTTTCTCTTCAGCATATGGGGTTTCGAATTGGGTCTTAACCTGCCATTTTTATGAATGGTGCTATTATTCTACTAGGATGAGTCATCCTTGGACATAATAGTGTGTGTGTGTGTAACTGTGAGAGTGATTTACTCTTAAAATTGTTTTTCATTCTACTTAGAGACTTCTAATTAGTATATTTAGATAGTTTTCAGAATTGCCAGCTATTTTTATCCCTACTAATCTACCATTTTATGTACACAGGCATACGTATGCATGCACGTACAACTTGGAATACGGTATGCCCTCCATAATTATTTCTTTCTTAAATAAGTCAGTTATTAGAGTGGAGAAAACATGTGATATGTTTTGTGTATTTTTTCCCTTGTTCCACCAAATTGGGGATTTGTGGGTAAAAAGTTACTTAATATCAGTTGTAACAACTTTCTCTACCACATTTTCTATTTTTGAGTGAAGAAGCACTAGGGAACTCTGGCCAGTGTTATTCAAGTTTGTTGGCTGAAGTGGGCGTGGCTGGACACACAAACCATTTGTTCATTTTTGCTGTTACCGTACTGAGATAAACTTTCTATAATACATAGTCCTAACACTAACTGTGGCCAAGGGAATCATTTTGATACCTTCTTCAATTCCGGTTTATGTACATTTGTGTGTTTATATATGTGCCTGTGAAAATAATCTGGTTTAGGAGCTGAAAGGT